AAAGGCCGGATAGAAAATAATTTGGCTTTGCCAATCTTGTGGTCTCTGTTGCAAACTTTCAACTGCTGTTGTGTCGTGCAAAAGCAGCCTTATATATATAAACAAATGAGTGTGGCTGTGTTCCAATAAAACTTTATTTATGGAGATTGAAATTTGAATTTCATATAACTTTTACATGCTGTAAAACATTATTCTTCCTTTGTTTTTGTTTTTTTCAATCACTAGAAAATGGAAAAATCATTCTTCATGAGCCACGTGAAAACAGGCGGTGAGGTAGATTTGGCCTGCAGGCTGTAATTCGCTGAACCCTGGTTTGGAAAATTGAAGTTATGAAAAAGTGTTTGAAAGACACAACTGATAATTTGTGGCTGAGAGTGTTCTAAGTTCAAGCCAATGGAATGTGAGTGGAAGTGATGCATTTTTACTTCCAGGCCTGGCCCATAACCCCTCGTCCCCATGTATGGTTCTATGTTCTTTTCCCATATGTTGAATATGGTGGACCTCAAGATGGAAGGAGCCTGGTTCTCATTTTGGCTTTACATGAGTAAGAAATAAACTGCTGTTCTCAAATTTCCCAAATTCGGTGTTAAGCCGCTGAGATTTTCAGGGGTTTTTATTTCAGCAGCTAGTGTTATCGTAACTAATATGTCATGAATTCTTCCAGATGTTTTTGGTTTGATTTTTATACTAAATTGGACTCCCAAAGATTGCATGCTTGGATGGACGTTATTTTGGTCTCCTCCTCTTCTCTTCATTTCCTCCTTCTCACATTTAACTGGCAGATGGTAGACTGGGTTACTTTCCATGTTTTAATCAATTATATTTGGTGGTCATTAGCTTTTACTGAGAGACATTACAAGAAATAAGACACATTGCTTTTACCACAGAGATGTTAGTGAGGAAACTGTCCCCAATATGAAGCCCACCTGAGAAATTCTTTTGGAACTAAGGGTCAGGAAAAGCTTATCTTTCCCTGAGGAACTTGTATGTTTTCTTATCAACAAAGAGAATATCATTGAATGGGCCTGATTGTGTTCCCTTTTCCCTTTTCCCTCTGGTTGCCAAGAAGCTCAGAGCCAAATTTTTGGCTCAACATTAATAACTTTGTAGGACCCTGTGGCCTACATATCTGCATTCTTAGTTTCCTCCTGCTCTTGACCTTCTATCCTGCTGTGTATTTTCCTTGTTCCTGAATTTTTTATTTATATTTTTCAATTTTATTGCTTGTTTTCTTGTAGGCTTACTCAGATCCTTTGTGGAACAAGGTGGGGTTAAAAAAAATGGCTTCATCTTATTAATAGAATATACCAAAACATTCCTTAATCACCTTAGTCTTAATTTGGGAATTAAAATTAAAATTTATTTTCAGGTGCTCTCCTTAGTCATTGTGTCTCATAGTTTGGTGAAGGGATGGTTTTTCAATCATAAAAGTTGAAGGCCTTCACATTTCTTCATTTTACTTGAAAGGAAAGAGAATGACATTTTACCAAAAGTTCCTGTTATTTGCCGTAAGAAAGGTAGAAAGGTCATAGATAAATTTGACTGACGAATGATAGACTGGGAAAAGATATTTGCAATGTTTTAAAGCAGTAAAGAATTAATATAAAGAATATACAATGACCTACTGTAAATTAACATGAAAAGATAAGAAACCCAATAGAGAAATAGTCAAAAGATGCAAATAGGTTATTTTTGCAAGGATATACTAGAAAATCTAACAAATATATATAGGAATAGATGCTGAAACTTATCAGTAATAAGAGAACAGCAAATTTAAATAAATGATCACTTCATACTCATCCAATTGGTGAAGTTAAAAGGTCGATAATAACAAGTATTGGCAAGGATGGAGGCAACGGGAATTCCCATGTACTATTGATGGGAGTCTGAACTGTATAGCCATTCTGGAAAACCACCTGTTTAGTTAAAGTTTGTAAGTGTCTTATGACCCCTCCTAGGTATATATTCTAGATAAAATTTTCCCTAAGTCCATTAGGGGATACACAAAAAAGTTCATCACAGCCTTGTTTGTGGTAGCAAGGGCATTTGAGACAGTCTGTGTATCCATCAGAAAGGGACAGATGAATGAATGAAGTGTGGTGGATGCATAGTTTGCAATAGATAGACGCAATATAGATTTAAAGTAACACCTTATGATTTTTAAAAATAGTGTTCAGTGAAAAATGTATGAAAGAATGATACCTTCAGCATAATATAATTTACATAAATTTAAAATAGCCACAAAGAAAATAACACAACATAATTTTTAAAGAGTCAGATAAATTCTGTTAATGTAGCAAACCCAATGTATGTATAGAGTGGGGAGGAGTAGGATGGACAGATGACCATCTGCCATGAACTCAACTACCCATACTGAAGTTAAAAAAAGAAGTGTGTGCCACCTGGTAGGAAGCAGGTGCTGCAGTGTTGGCTTTACATGTTCTGAGATATCCAAGTCTAATGTGAGAACTCACTGAGGGTGACAGCATGGAATAGAAGGTGCATTCAGACTCATCTGGCTTTTATCTTAGCCACAGCTTTGAATGTACCAGTGGTTTGCAACAGCTTAAACACAAAAACTTCGTAGAAATCTCTATCTCAGTAAAGGAAGCACCCGTGACTTTATTTATTCATTCATAGGGTGGTGTGGTGGTTGAGAGCATGAACTCTGGGGCCAACTTCTGGCTCTGCCATTACGTACTGTGTGACCCTGGGCAAGTTACTTAATTTGGCATTTTCCAGCTTTCTCATCTGAAAGATGGGAATAATACTGCTTCTTACTTCATAGGATAATTGTAAGGATTAAACAAATTAATATTTTAAAGCACTTAGAATGGTCCTTGGTACATAGTAAGCATTATACAAGTATTCATTAAATAATTAAAGCCTTTTAACAAATAATGAAATACTTAACACGGGCAAGCACTATGCTAGATTCTGGAAATACATTTCAGAAAAGAGGAACTTTCCAGCTGCTCTCATCCTGCCCGGGACCTGGGTTCCAGCATCTGAGTCCTTGCTTTGTGGCCTGTCCCCAAACTCTCCACCCATTGTTATATATACCTGGGCTCTTGTTTTTTTGTCTCCCATGCTTAAGTCTGTCTTTCTTCTCTGACAAATATCATAATTACTGAAAGTTTGGGGAGCTGGGGTGGCTCACTGGTGTTTGGGGCCCCGCTCCAAGTTACTAGACTCTCCTAGTGTTAAATGCAAACCTGGGTATCTGCTCATCTGCCAGACATCTGGCTCCTCTAATTTTCTACCTGGTGGTCTGCTTACCTCTTCTCCTTACTGCTGGGTACTTGCCCAAACACCTCCATGGGCCTGTCCAAAAATTTTGTCTTTGTTAGTCTTTCCCATTACAGTAAGTGGTCCATTCTTGAGGTTCAAGCCAGAAACCTAGGGGTCGGTTTTGATTCTTCTCTCTTTCCCCACCTAATCTAATTCATCTATAATTCTTGTTATTTCTACCTCCAACATATCTCTTGAATCTGCCTAGTTCTGTTAACTTCTGCTGTCATCACCCACATCCAGTTTACCATCATTTTGTGCCTGGAACCCTGAAGTAACTTCCTAACTGCTTTCCCTGCTTTGTTCCTGTGCCTGGCATGGCAACTATTTGCTGCATGACAACCAGAAGGATCTTTTAAAAATGCAAATTGAATTATGTCTGATCTCTGCTCAAACTCTTCAATGACCTCCCATTGCACTAAGAATTAGTACTACTAAACCATGACTTAATTGATAGGAGCAAGTTTTAAAATCAGTGTTTTCTAATACTTGGATCTTCAGAGATTTTTTGCTATGAAATTTTCAAAATTAAAAAGAGCACAATTGCAAAATTTGATTGTTTCACTTTCTCCTCTGTTGCTAGATATTTTGCTGGAGTGGGGATGGGAGAGACTGAGGCATAACTGCCTGCAGCTTCAGCTCTGAGAGGATGGTTTCTACAGTCTTCAAGGAGATGAGCATCCCTCCCCAGCCCCCCGAATCTAATGTTTTTGGGGGAAGTGTTCGTGTTTATTTTTTCTTCCTCAGTACCTTAGCCCTGAGAAAGTCTCTTCTACAATGGTTTTGATCAGGATCAGGATCAAGGACCAGCCCTGGGTCCGAAACAAAGCAGAGGGGCCCTGAGACAGTGCCTGCACCAAGGGCAGCTGCAGCTGGGGATGAAGCCGACAAAGAGGGGAGGGGAGTGGCGGGTACAGTCAAAGCAGCTTGGTCAAGACTCAAGGAGAGGGGTGTGAAAGACTGGAGTAGACCATTATAGCCTGGGGGGAAGACAGGCGGTCTTACAAACCTGACACGGCTTACTGGAACCCTTTCCTCAAGTTCCAGAATCACTTCTTTCCACTGACCTAGTTTTTTTTCCTGGTGAGCCCAGTCACCATGAAGACCTTGTCAGAACTGAATGTTCTCTTTAAGTTGGTGGGTCTTAATCTTATTACAGTTGCCTGGGAAGTTTTTTTTAAAAATAGGCTACTTAGGTTACACCCACCTATGACCAATAGAATGAGTCTATAGTGGGGTGAGGGTGGTGTAGGGTCCGTGGGGCTGGGCTCAGGCATATGTGATTTCTTTCAAAGTTTACCCTGTGATTCTGATGCCCAGTGAGGGTTAAGAGCCACTGCTTTAAGAACTTTTACTCTGAGCAAACAGGATTATTCACACCTTTGGAAATTATTTTAAATTAGAGAATGTTGCAACTAGAGAGTACTCTAGAGCAGTGCTTCTCAAACGTTCGTGTGCTTGTGATCACCCAGGGGTATTGTTAAAAGCAGATTTTGATTTAGGTCGCTGGCAGTGGGGCCTAAGATGTGGCATTTCTCAGAAGCATCTGTGTGATGTGGGAGCTGCTGGCCTGAGGACCATGTTGAGTGCAGCAAAGCTTTAGATCTAACATTTATGGAGGGCTGACTCTGTGTCAGGCGCTGTGCTTTACAGTCATTGATTTCTCACAAGCCTGTGACACAGGTACTGTTTATATTTCCATTTTACAGATGAGAAAATTGAGGCCTAAATGAGTTCATCGACCTGCCCAGGATCACAATGCTGGTAAGTAGAAGAGCCAGAATTTGAATCGAGGTTGTCTGATTCTAGAGGTCGTGAACTTAACCACAATGTAATATGACTTCAATGGCATGGTGGGGAGTTCAGGGACTCGCCTTGAAGCTGGTTTGTATAACAAACACATTATTTTTAGAAGGTTGTTTATTTATTTGAAACGGTTGCTGGAATAGGGGGATAAAAAAGGGGCCAAGGAAAGTATGAACAAACTTGTAAATACATCTGTTCATTCATTTTCCACTCAAATGGTCACTAGGTATATTTTTTCAGATAATGTGCTACACACTGGGGAAGTTAAGATGAGTCATATAAGATTCCTTCCTCTCAAGGACTCACTTTCTTATATCTGAGTACCAACAATATCATGGTTTTTGGGTTTTTTTCTGCAATAGAGGCCTGCTCCAGTGGGAACTGGAGGGAAAAAGTGTCCGAGAAGGATTCACATGGAAGTACTGAAAGGACAGCTCCAGGCACATGGGGGTATGATGTATTTGTGTATGATTAAATCCATGATATATCATGTGTTTTATGGGAGACCCACTCTCAGGAAAAGCCCTAAAAAAAGTAATGAATAGCTATGGTACTTCAAAAAGTGTTTAACTGAAAAACACATAGAAAAACCTGGTTTCATATCTCTAAGTTTGCTATGCCAGCAGAGAAAGATAACTATGTTGGTTACAGTCTGGTGTACTAGCAAGAATAGGCTAGTTGTGCTTGCAATAAAAATAACCCCAAGTATCAGTGGCTAAAACAGCAAAGGTTTATATCTTGCTCACCCTGTATGTCCCATGTGGATGGTGTACAGGTGGGTGGGAGATTCTGCTCTAGGTAGTCATCTCCTAGAGAAGTGGAGATCTCACCATCTTAAGATGTGACCTGCCAGCAATACTTCAGGGCTCATCAAAGCAGGGGAGAAACAGGGAGTCACGAACTACCAATTAATGCTTTTGCATGGAAGTGATGCACTTCATTTCTGCCCTCTTTTCATTGGTCAGAAATCATTATATGGCAATATCTAAGTTCAAGGGGATGGGGGGATTATAATCTTTGTGTTCCTGACGTGGAGAACTGCTGAATATTGGGGAATGTTTCTAATGTCTGCTACAGCCAGTCTCTGTAGCTCCACTCACGTGTGTTGGAAATAAAAGGGGTGTGCTTTTCACACATGAAGAAAAAAATGACTTCATTACCGTTAGTTCTTATTCTTTTATTTTAATATGTGTGGGATTGTTGCCAATCATATTTTTATTTAAAAGTAGTAACAAGGTCAGTCTTCATCAACATTAAAACTGTTATTTTAAAGCTTTGAAATTAAACTACCAAGGCTATTATTTGAGACAGCATGAATATCAATTTCAAATACCAGACCAGTATGATGATTGTGTGACAAAAACAATTGCAACTGAATAAATGTGCCCCAGCTGAGTATCCAGGGATGACAAGAGCAACTTCCATATGGAAGCTTCCCCAGTGAGCTTGTTTACTGTGTGGGGCAGCAGTACAAATGCAGACATAGCACCACATTGTGATACAAGATACAGCACCACATTGTGATACAAGATACAGTCACTGTTCTTTTGTTTTAATTGCCTTTAAAATCTCTCAAGCACTACCACCCCCTTTTTCCTCTGTGCTCAGGAAATACGGGAAAGATTTGAGGAGCAGAAAGGGTGGAACCTAAGGGTGGAAGGAAAAGGGGGTGGATTTGGTGGGACTGAAAAATTCTCTCAGATTTAGGGGACTGCTCTATTACTTCCTTCTCCCCCTTCTTGGTTGACACTTCCTGTGGTAAGGGAGCCATCTTTCCCCTCCTTAGCTGTGCCCTCTGGAGACTAGTGCTGTGCACTAGATCTTTCTATGTCCATGCTTGAATGTGGTAACCACTAGGCATCCGTGGCTATTGAGCACTTGAAGTATGACTAGTGTAACTGAGGAATGATTTTAAATTTTATCAGATTTAACAAATTTAAGTAGCCACATGAATCTAGGTGATTGATAGGAGAGAGGGAAGTTGTTTTTATTTCTGCTTTCTTGGTGTAGGTTTTTCTGCACATCACAACTATTTTATCTCCCACACAAGGAATTGTTAAGGATGAGTTAGGCCAGCTTGAGGGAAGAGTAAGGGGGGCCTAGCACAGACATTAGCCTGCTGCAACGCCCCCTCCCTTAGCCAGTGTAGCCAGGCTCCTGTCATGAAAAGTGATAGGAGTTCAGGGGTTCAGGGGACCAAATTATGCCCAGAGACTTTACAGACATAAAAACAGGGACTATTACAGGAATCTCAGACCTGGTTGGTCCTTTTTTAAGGGAAGGCTGTGGTTTTGGGTATGAGGAAAAAAGAAAGGCAAATGAACCTAGCGTGGTAAACTTTTAAGGTAGCATTACATCTCTTTCTTTGTAAATTTGGGTATAAAATCTTTACTGTGCTTGAAATTCTTATTAAAAATTCAATGAACTTCAGTTTGCATATTTGCAGCCTTTCATTTCTCAAAGCATTCTTTTGTAAGAAACTATTTTTTTCATGGTAAGTTGTTTAATGAAAGACACGGGCAGTTACTGAAAGAAAACTCTCATCAAGCATTCCTCTGGTAACCCCTCTATATGCATGTGCTGGTGCTGTGCTAAGAACGAATGGCACGTCACAACACGATTTTTTTTTTAAGCAAAATGACTTCTTAGCTGTAAAGTCCCATGAATGTGTGACCTGGAAGCCTATATACTTTTCTATTTGTGTCTACTGTTCATTTTGGAAAACATTTGCTTTTATTACACAATACAAAAATTAGTGCTTGTATTAAACAATTTAATGAACCGAAGTGCCTCAGACCTCACATAGCCTGACTAACCTCCCCTAGATCCTTGAGGAGAGGCCAATACAGAGTACGTTGGCAAGATGCTTGGATTTTATTCTTGGGACAACGTGAAGGCAAGAGAGTGAAGAAAGGTAGGAAAGCAAGTATGATTCCAAGATAATTTGATTTACAGAAGACAGACATTCTTACTTTCATTATTAAAACTATAATTCAACCTTAAATAAACAGCACAAAGGAAGTTCTTTTGAAAACACAATATCCAATGACATCAAAAAAATTTTTTCCCACCAGAGAATGCATATAAACAGGAAAAATTTTTTTCAGTGGAAGGTTAATTGTTGACACCACCATACTTACATTCAAGTGCAAGACCATTCCTAGTCCCACCGCCAACACTCCAGAGCCTACCTTAATTTTACCTTGACATTGACCCAGCATATGATTTCGATATGCTAATTACTTCTCCAGATTATACCCATGGTTCTGATGCTATGCGAAAAGTGTTTAAGGTTTAGTTTTCGAGTTCAGAATAATTGGGTAATTGGCATCATCCTGTGACAAGTTCCCCCTTTTCCTGAGGTCCTTTGACTAATGGCCCTATTGTTATTGTTGGAGTGGTCCAAGCCCCATAGAGCCATGACGCAAAACTTGATCTTTGGTAGAAATGCCTTACACATTTATTCCCTCCAGGAAACCAAAGGGCAACAAAGCCACATTCCAGGTTGAGAACCTGGCCTTTTGCACCATGACCTAACCTGTTCCAGGTGAAAAGTATTATGTCAAAAATAGTTTCATAAGAAAACCTTTCCTTGGGTTCTTGCAGAGGCCCTAAGTCCTAGCTGCACATCAAAATCACCTAGGGGACATAAAAAGAGCGCCATCTGGTCCCCACCTGAAACTTGTTGAAAAGACCTGCTGGATTTAGGAAAGCCTTGAGTACCTGTGTTTTAAACAAGACTCCCAGATGATTAGAGAAATTTGGTCAACCTGATTTAGGGTGTTGGTTTTGGGAAAGAGCACTTACTATCACATTTTTGAAATAAATTTAGTGGTCCTAAAGACATTTCTAAAGCCAGTGTCTTGTCTTCTTTTACTTGTTCACATACGAATTCTACCAAAGAAGAGATATTTAACAGAAGAGAAGGTTTACCATTTTCATCTCCAATCAAACCACGGTGTCTGATCCTATGGGGTATTTTCATGTATTAAACATAAGATTTGCATTTTCATATGGCAGCTTTCAGCAGCACCAGTCTGTCAGTGTGCTGTAGCTCAGAGCCCAGCAGAGCGGACTTACCCTCTGCTTGTTTTAAGAGGAGCTTAATACTAATGGAAAAGTGTCTTCAGTTCTTTATGTACTGTGAGACCAGCTTGTCATTCCATCTCTAAATGAAATGACAAAGGATTTGTTAGTTTAGCCATTTCTTCCATCTAACAGGTAGTGTTGGAGTGTCTCCTGTATGTCAGATTCTGTGTTAGGTGTCAGGGATAACAAATAAAAGAAACTGGGGTTCTTCTCAAGGAACTGGTAGGGTAGAGCAGGGGTTCTTGGAGCATGATTTTGGACCACCAGCAGCATTATTCCTAGGAACTTGTTAGAAATGCAGACCTACTAAATCAGAAACTACTCCTTAATGCCCACATAAGCAAGTGTTTGGAAAGCAAGTCTTCCCTTACTTGCTTATGTAAAAATGACTAATTAATCATTTGTTTTTGAGCTGGTATGGATCCAGAAATACTTGTTATGAAAAATTCTGGCTTTGCTTGCAGGTTCTTCTTTGCCCAACTCTGCATCTAGCGGAATGGCCAGAATTTTGTTTAGATTCCTCAATGTCCCCCAAAGATACCGACTTTACCATTAGCTCATTGGATCACTAATGCCTACAGATTCACCTCAACCACCTACTAAATCAGAATCTGTGGGGGTGGGGCCCAGCACTCTAGTTTAAGAAGTCCTCCAGGTGATTCAGGTAAAATCGCTGGTCTCTAGGAGGAGCATGAGTTTAGCAGACAATTATAGTACAGCAGATCCTCAAATAATGTTGTTCGTTTGACATTGTTTCGTTATGATGTTGATGAGAAGAAAAAAAAAAGAATCGATGCCCAGCTGGGGCCACGATGTGGAGTTTGCACATTTTCCCCATGTCTGGGAGAGATTTTCCTTCGCGTTCTACCG